TGACTATTCGGAATTTTTTAGGCACTGGTTTTGGGTTACAGACAATGAATCAGAACTCAGACTATTTGCTTAATTTCCAAACAGTTCAGGGTATTACAGCACCTTGTCGTCATACAAGTTATTGCTCACAGGAAAATGTACTGATGTCATGAAGGACAAATTAACATTTATTAGCTGATTACTGCACTCTCTTTCATGCAGATCATCATGTATTTCTGCATAGCACACAGGTATGTGTAAATGAATAATCCAGGGAGGCCAGCTTTAGTATAGCAGTTATTCATTTTTTGTAAGTTCAAAATATATTTAGTGAATTTTCATAAAACACACAAATTTGAATGTGTTATCTATACCTATGTGCTCTACGTAGAGACAGAATTATAAACGGAAGCAATTATTTCATAATATAAAATATTATAATAATAATATCGAAGCACAAACACAAAATTAACATTGATTATCCTTTTGTTAACTTACAAATCCATAAACATTAAAGATTTCATGAACACTACCCGGCGAATATATATCTTAATTAGAGCAGCAATTAAAATGATCGTTATTTTCCAATAACATGTAGGTCACTGCACTCACTCTGTGCTGATTATAAAGTAATTATTTTTAATCAGTAAGGTACAGTATAGAATTTGTCATGTGTAACCTGGAAGAAAATTTCCAAGCTTGCTTAGATAGTCATTGTGTGTGAAGAGTGGCTGCTGCTACAAAATCTGGTCCTTTATGTATCAAAAGATGTAGTTTTGGAGCCTGATCCAAAAACCATCCTCCATTCCCATGGAGTCTGGGTGATCAGAACCTTTCACAAGGCATTTACCACCTTGCCAGGATCAATTTTTGGAACCAGAGCTGGCTCTTCTTGGGATGATGTGAAAATGAGATAGATTCAGAAAAGGCTAAAATAGGGAAAGAACAAGTTAAAAATTACTTGGACAAATCAGAGGTGTTCAATTCACCAGGGCCTGATGAAATGCATCCTAGAATACTCAAGGAGCTGACTGAGGAGATATCTGAGCCATTAGCGATTATCTTTCAAAAGTCATGGAAGACAGGAGAGATTCCAGAAGACTGGAAAAGGGCAAATATAGTGCCAATCTATAAAAAGGGAAATAAGGACAACCCAGGGAATTACAGACCAGTCAGCTTAACTTCTGTCCCCGGAAAGATAATGGAGCAAATAATTAAGCAATTTGCAAACATCTAGAAGATAATAAGGTGATAAGTGACAGTCAGCATGGATTTGTCAGAAACAACTTATGTCAAATCAACCTGATAGCTTTCTTTGACAGGGTAACAAGCCTTGTGGATGAGGGAAAGCGGTAGACGTGGTATATCTTGACTTTAGTAAAGCTTTTGATACTGTCTCACTTGACTCTCTCATAAACAAACTAGGGAAACGCAACCTCGATGGAGCTACTATAAGGTGGGTGCAAAACTGGTTGGAAAACTCTTCCCAGAGACTAGTTATCAGTGGTTCACAGTCATGCTGGAAGGGCATAACGAGTGGGGTCCCACAGGGATCAGTTCTGGGTTCGGTTCTGTTCAATATCTTCATCAATGATTTAGATAATGGCACACTAAGTACACTTATAAAGTTTGCGGATGATACCAAGCTGGGAGGGGTTGTAAGTGCTTTGGAAGATAGGATTAAAATTCAAAATGAACTGGACAAACTGGAGAAATGGTCTGAAGTAAATAGAATGAAATTCAATAAGGACAAATGCAAAGTACTCCATTTAGGAAGAAACAACCAGTTGCACATGTATAAAATGGGAAATAATGCCTAAGAAGGAGTACTGTGGAAAGGGAATCGGGGGGGTCATAGTGGACCACAAGCTAAATATGAGTCAACGGTGTAAAGCTGTTGCAAAAAAAGTGAACATTCTTCTGGGATGTATTAGCAGGAGTGTTGTAAGCAAGACACAAGAAGTAATTCTTCCACTCTACTCC